GGTAATGAAACGTTTGCAAGAAAAGAACCAAGCTCAGAGAACCGCAAGGACTCCACAGTTCTAGGAATTTAGCTACCCCATATGCATATTTAATAAGCATCCCCACTGCCTCTTCAACTAAGTCATTATGTTGAAAAATAGAAGGTCCAGGACCAAACCTTGTGGCATCCCATTGGATATCTCTCTCCAATTTGAAGAGAACCATTAATGAGCATTTTTAAGTATGGGTTTAAGTCAGCTGTGGATCTGTATAAGAACTGAGCTTGCTAATTAAATAATGGATAACTTTATCAAATGCTTTTTAAGATAAATTATTTCCTCAGTATTCCAACAATCTGATAAGGTAGTTAAATCTTCAGAAAGTGAAATAAGATAGCTTGTCAAGTTTGAATTTCCAGAGCCAGAAGGATTGCCCTTCTAAACTATTTAAGTAAACTGCTGTATTAATCATTCTTAATAAAATCTGAAGATTTGTGAAGTTCCCAATGACTGGAGGAGAACAGATGTTCTTATTTTCAAAAATGGGAACAAAGGAAAACTGAGTGGTGAGCCTGAGATTGATACCTGGGTAGATTCTAGATTATGTTATAAAGCAGGTGATTTTCAAGCATCTTAAAAACAATCCAGGCAATGACTAGAAATAAGCATAGAGCAGCAAAATGAACTTGGAAGGCCATTTCTACTTGAATGTTAGGAAGGACATAAAGTAGTAAGAGCAGTTCACAGTGTAACCAATTACCAAGAGAGGTGGTGACCTCTCTTTACCAGATATATTCAAGTAAAGTCTGGACAGCTCTTTGTCAGACAGATGTCAATTCCTGGACTTAATAGCCAGTTCTATCTATCTTGGTCTCTGTTGTAAACTATTAACTCACACCATTTATTTTTGTAATGGCTAATGCATGGGAGTGCCGTATTTACTAATATTAGACAGATTTTCTTGTGTTGTATTACCTTTTAAATGGGAAGACGTTCAAAAAGTTGTCTTTCTCATCAAACTGAAACATTTAGCAACTGAACGTAGTAAAATAGGATTGATAGTCCAGCACTGGTAGTCACCAAATGGATGTTCAAGAGGCTCTCTGCCATCTCCCCATAAAACAGCAATGATAACCACTAAGAATGCCAAAATCATATATGAGATCTCACATTGAATTAAACATTGCTATCCAAATGACAATAGCTACCATTCCCAGACATCAGCGTAAACTATAAAATATCAGTCTCACCTCCACCCTATGAAAATAAGAATCATTGCCTTAAACATATATATGTCACCAAAATAGCACAATCCACATACATTTGTGTAAAATCAAAATTGAATTGATCAATAATTTAATAATACAATTATTGTTTTATGTTAAAGAATTTTTATTTTTCTAATATAAAGTTACTAGCTTCTCCAGTTTTTCTGTATTATGTATCTTTAGATCACCCATATTTCATCGGTGTTCAGTTCCATCCAGAGTTCTCCTCCAGACCTATGAAGCCTTCACCTGTGTACCTTGGCCTTTTACTTGCTGCCACAGGATCGCTCAGTGCATATTTGCAATATGGATGTAAATTGTCTCCTAGGTAATCATGCTTTCTATTTGACTTATTCTCCTCCTCCTCCTTTTCCTCCTCCTCCTCCTTCTTCTGTGAAATGCAATTCCAGGAAGGAGAAATAACAATGACCCATGTTGTCGTTTATGTACATTAGAAGAATATTGACAGTTACTGCTAAAGGGACTGGAACATCAGGATGTTCAGGGGATTAGGAAATTCCATGGATGGCAAGGCTTTGCATTGGGAACACTTTATATATGGGGAGAAAAGAGGAATGTGAGGTTAACATGCTGAGGGAGTACGACTGGCAAGTCTTAAGCATACTACTGGCAGGGAGCCATCTATCTGGAATAATTTAATGAATTGAATATAATGTTGCCCCTTTCAGCTTTATTATTTCAGTGAAAATTAAATTGATGAATTTACATACTGTTTACATATATGCCCATTATATATTTTTAGATATTTGAGTAATATTAGGTACTTGGGGTAATTTTATATGAAATACTGAATTGAATTCAAGTACATCTCTGAATGGATAAAAAAATGTCCTGTTAATGTAGAATAGCTATACTGACCAGTGTCCCAGACATCCCACATCCCATATCCAAAAGGATGGGGTTGGGGAGGCTTATAAAATATCTGTTTGGAGTACAGAGGAGAGTTGACTGGGAGAGTGGGACTTAGCAATACTCAGGTAAGACAAATTGTTTCCTGTACATATGATAAGACCTTTGGATTATCACGATTGTTGAGTATAGCATTCTCCTGTGCAGTTTGGATCATGTTGATGATCTTCTGTTTCCAACTTAACCCTGAAGAAAAGTTTTTAAAATATTGTAAGGAAATGTAAATAGGGAAGAAAGTCCTAATTTATTCTAGACAGTCACAGGACACTTCCTCGTGGGATCTTTGCATTTTGAACTTCTGTAATTTCATAGGTAAGGAGTTACTTTGAGTTCAGCTATAGCATATCTGAAATTGTATTAAAGGCAGTCTTTCCATTGGTAGCACTGAAATTCTGCAGAGTTGTGGTAGCTTGTTTCCCCACTGATGGAAACTGTGGCTTCACTCTGCCTGCTGATTCATTTCACTGGACTTCAGTCCAACAAGAACTAGTGCTTTGGAGGCTTTGCACCTTCCTCTCCTAGCAACTGTCTGGATTTCATGAATACAACATAAAGTAAAAACCAGGAAGGCTGACTGAAAGTTATGTCCTGCTTTTCTTTTCTTTTTATTAGTAAGATAACTCCTTGAGGTAGGATGTCTGGGAAGCCCTGGTGGGTTGGCTGATGTGCGGCTTGCCTGGACACTTAGATTCTTTTTATTTTAAGTGTAAACTGCCCAGAATCATGCCTAGAGTCAGGCAGCTTCTAAATCAAATAAAAAAACAGGCAGGAGCACTGATGGTTCTTGTCGTTTCCATAATTTAAATGTCTGTGGCAGCGGTCTGTTTCTCATTACTGTTGAGGGACTGGGGAATGGAAATGGTGGTTATGTGAAAGTGCCTCTGGCCAACAGTTCTATATCTTTAGAGATTTAGATATTTTGATACCTAGTTGTGTAAAGCTGAAGAAAGCATATCTAAGTAAAAAAAAAAAAAGAGAGAGAGAAAATGAGAGAAAGAGAGAGGGAGAAAGAGATGACTAAGTGTGTTATTTTTATTGTTAGACCTTCAATGCAGACTTGACTCCTGGCTTCTACATGGACAATTTCTTTCAGTTTTGTTAGCAATGTTTTCCAGAAGTTGACATTGCCTCCTTTCCAGGGCTGAGAGAGAGTGATTGGCCCAAAGGCAGGACTAGAATCAACTATTTCTTAAAGTGTGGTCCAAGGACCCCTGAGGGTCACCCAAGATCTTCTCAGGGCTCCGTGAAATTAAAATTATTTGCCAGATGTTGAAGACATTTGCAAAAATTTAAAACAATGTCACTCTTCTCATTATTATTTTTATCTGTTAAAAAATACAGGTTTCTTCATGAACAGTATTTATGTTAATATCGAATGGGTTTAATATTGTTATTTTTACATGATTCAATACATAAATATTCTCAAATGCATCCATTTAAAATTTTAATGCGGTAAATATTAATAAATATAACCCATACAATAAAAGCTCTTTTGGGTCCCTCCATAATTTTTTACAGTGGGAAGGGGTCCTGAGAGCAAAAGGTTTAAGAAACACTCTACTAGACCAATCTGGCTCCCGTAGTCATACAATTATTCCATATTAAACTTATTTTACTAGGTAGATTATTGTTCAAAAATATAGTGTGATACTGGAAACAAAATAACTACATTTCTATGGTGATTATGATTTCCTCCAGGGAATTTTAGGTCCCGTTCTTTCTGTAGAGATTCTAGCACTCCTCAATCCCCAGCATAGGTTGTTTGGACATAGATTAAAACCTACCTACCTACCTACCTACCTATCTACATCAGATATGTATGTATGTACACACACACACACACACACACACACATATACAGTCTCACACACACACACTGTATATATGAATGAAATGCTGTAAACATACATAAGAATAATTTATGTCAAGTTGTCAAGAGTCTGATGATTAATATCAGTTTATTGATAGCTTTATATAGCTCCAGTAATATTTCAAAATATGCAGAATATGGCCACTCTTTTCCCTGAATATGAAGAGAATAATGGATATGTTGTACTTTCACAGTTCTTTAAAGTATTTTCAGCAAGTAGGAATTTTGTACAAATTATGTACAGCCTCAAAATGATGAATGATGGCTTGGGGTTTTGTATTTCTAAATGAAGTTGTATTGGGATGCGTGCTTATACTTTTAAAAACTAAAAATGTGAAGAATGTTGCATCAGGTATAATTGAATATAAAATAATTTTGTATGTAATGGATAGTTTTCATTAGTAAGGCAGAAGTTTATACTTCTGATCTTTAATACAGGTATGTGTTTTATTTTATTATTCTTTAAACTAGAATAAATCAGAAACTATGCCATTGGCTGTAATCTGTTTAGGACTGCAATTTTAGACACAGATTATTTTGTTTACTTTGGCATAATAGTCCCTGACAAGTTTTCTTAATTGCTCTATTGACAAAATCATCACGTTTGGGCAAAATAAAGTATAACTTAGACTGGTAGTCTACATTTTGATAAGGTAAACACAGTCAGTGTACATTTAACCCCAAGGTTAATCTATATTTTAAGAGGACTTACTGTATTTTTATTCCTTTATGTTGTTTCAATCAAGCTTATAAACTATACAGTAAGTTTCTTTGATAGTGATGTGCATTAAGATTTCCATTACAAAAACTTCAATTTCACATATAAGGGAACAGAGTTTTTAATCTTCCACCTACAGTGGTACCTCGGTTCACGAACTTAATTCGTTCCGCGACTCTGGTCGCGACCCGAATCAAATTTTCCCATAAGGTTCAATGTAAATATGGTTAATCCATTCTGACCCCTCCAAATTTGGTCGCGACCCGATTTTTGGTCGTGTCCTGAATCAAATTTCCCCATAAGCTTCAATGTAATTATGGTTAAACTGTTCTGAACCATATGGTTTTTTTTTTTAACCGCAAAAATATGAAACAAAATACAGTACGAAGGGAGAGAATGCTAACCTTGCTCGACGCGACTTCTGGCGTGGAGGACAGGAAGGCGGGTGGGGAGGCGGTTTTTGCTTGGAAGGAGAGTCCCCCTCCCTACAGGAAGCCGCGACCACATGTCACGGGAGGGAAAATGGCTGTGGATCCTGTTCGTCACCCGATCCGGCGTTTGCGAACGGAGGCAAAATTTTGCAACCGGAGTTGTTCGTGAACCGAATTTCGTGAACAGAAGCGTTCGTGAACCGAGGTACCACTGTATCAAGTCTACCAATAGTTATGTACTGAATAGTTGGATTCAGCCACAGGCTTCTCATCACAGATGACCTTTCAATAGATATACCTAAGCCTGGAATGTCTTTGTATTAGAAACATTAAGGTCCTGATAAAAATGCATATTTATGATCTATGATGTTTGGCATAATTAACTTAAATATCCAGTTTTAAATCAATAGGGTGCTTTGAAAACAGTGGAGCAGTTCTTAAAATGAAGTCAATACAACATTAACCATATTTTACATTTATGAGACATATACAGAACATTTATTAAAGTGTCTTATGCACTTCTAGTTTCTGTAACTATAATTCAAGTATTCAAAAACTTATTCATATGATTTAGGGTTATTTCAAGTTAATTCTCCTATAAAGGTCACCTCTAAAGCCTTAAGTGGCACAAGGCCTAGAAATTGGTGGAATTGTTATCTCTAGTAATCTCTTATCCCAGGCATTAGGCCAAAATGGTATATCCTCCTGTTGTAATTATATGAGATCTTTGTTTTGTCTCCTGGTGTGGTATGTTTTATTGTGCGCTTTTCATCTTGGGCTCTTTTTAACCCTGGTTGGCCTCCTAGAATTGCTTGGCCAGGAAGTCTAAATCATCTAAATCGAATGAATGAATGAATGAATGAATGAATGAATGAATGAATCCCAAGAATCTAAATTGAATGAATGAATGAATCCCAAGAATAGTTAAATGATTTATGATTGCTGTTTTTAAAAGATGCAAGTAGTGTTTAAGGTGTTGGATTAGGACCTCAGAGAATCATTTTCAAGTTTATGCTCGGTCATGGAAGCTCACTGGTTGAGCCAACTACTTCATAGGTTTCCTGTTGGAAAAGTGCTGTGCATGTTGCCTTGAGCTCCTGAAGGAAAAGTAAGGCCTAAACTTAATAAATCATCTTGCAAACAGTTAAATATAACTGTTAAGTATAGTAGCTAAGAAAATCGGAAGGGCAAATTTGCTCCTAATTTGCAGAGATAGATGCTAGATATGTATTCAAAACACTCTTTCTTTTTTACAGAGAAGCAAGGAAGAAGACTTTCAAGCAATCTAATTCCCTTTAAATGATTTGCACGCTGACTACATCTTCTAAAACAAATTTTCTTTTTTTTTTGTTTTCTTCTTTCCATTTTTGTTTGGTATA